ATTTAAGTCGGCTGGGAAGCGGATGCTGTTTTTGTATGGGTTGATGGCTTTATATGCGTGGTTGAAAGACGACCACTCATTTGACTCCACTTCTTGGTTGATCATTTTTATTTTGTTGAAAATATCTTTTTCAATGCCAGGGACAATCATGTGGCAGGGGCGTATACTAGCGTTTCTGGCAGCAGTATCAGCAAGCTCGTTGCCGTGTATTCCTTTGTGACTGGGAACCCACATCAATTTGATTTTCCTGGGAGATTTGACACAAATCTCGCGTATCTCGGCGAGTAAACTATTGTTACTGTAAATATTTTGTCAGTGGCTATGACAAATTTTCCTTTGTTGGACTGCGCATATTTTGCCGCTTCAAATACTGCGACTGCTTCAGCTGAAAACACTGAGTAGTAGGATGGAAGTATGCCTGTTGATATGTCGGCTCCTTTGGAATTGATGACAGCGAATGCCGTGACTGATTCGCTTTTCGATCCGTCTGTATATAACCATTGCCAATTGTTTGCGTTGAGTTCAGCTGCCTCTTTCGCGAATATTTTTTTGTAAATTGCAGAGTTGGTAGTTGGTTTGCTATACTGCTGGAGTACCGTGTTGAATGATGAATGCTTTAGCAGCCAGGGAGCTGTTTGGCTGATTCTATTACGCGAGCTCGTAGCAATGTCGTATTGCTTGCAGAGAGATATACTTCTGCGTAGGGTGGATGTCACCTTAAACTTTCGTACGCTCTTAGCTGCTTTCTTTACGTCATTTCGAAGAATGGTGTTGGTTGTGCACAAAAGTTTTGGTATGAGTTTGAGCGTTGTTTGTAGAACTCTTTCGGAGATTGATGGCAGTCCCGCTTCAGCTAGTATACATTTGGTGGGGCTGGTTGGAAAGGCATTAATACTCCGCCGGGCAGCCGTATGATATGGGGATTGAAGAAGTCGGATGTTTGACTTTGCACACCATCCGTATATCGGTAACCCGTAATCGATCTTGGACAGCATAAGAGCCTTAGTCACTTGTGTTAATATTGTCGGATGAACCTTCGAGCGCCTGGAGCTAAGGAATCTAATTATGTTGAGGCGTTTGTTTAGACTTTCTCTCACGTACTTACAATGGTGCTTAAATGTAAACCTTTTATCAAAAATTACACCTAGTAGTTTAAGGTTGTCAGTGAATTCAATAGTACAATTGTCATATATCAATGGAGGATAATTGCAGTGGTGTTTTTTACAAATATGTAAGATTTTACATTTATTAATCGCTAAAGCTGCTCCTGAGAATTTGCCCCATTCTTTGATATCACATAGTATTTTTAAATATGTATTGTTTAAAGCTACTGTATCATTTATCTTCCTAAAGAGCAAAGCATCGTCTGCATAAATAGACACTTCAATATTTTTGTGTTTAAGAATCACATTATTTAATCGTTCAAATGCGATCATAAATAATACCACTGATAGTGGGGATCCCTGTGGGATGCCATTGTATAATGTATAAAAATCTGACAGTGTGTTGTTTACTCTAACGTGAAAGGAACGTCCGATCATGAAAGCCTTTACTAAATTGAAAGTCTTTGGACCCACACCCCAGTTGGCGAGTTGTTGAAGTACAGCATGCACCCCCACGCGATCATAAGCTCTTTCAAAATCAGTAGCCAGAATGGTTACATGATTTTTAGCTGAAAGAGCGTCAGACACGTAGTGTTGAAGATGCAACAGAGAATCCATGGTACAATGTTTTGACTTGAAAGCGGTTTGATTAGGGCTGATAAATTTATTTTTCGTTATGTACCATAGTAGTCGTTTTGCGAGCATTTTCTCAGCGACTTTGCTTAGGCATGATAGTAGTGATATCGGCCGGAAACTATTTACTTCATGCGAGGGTTTGTTTGGTTTCGGTATAGGGACTACGATTCCCGATCGCCAGCTGTGAGGGTAGCTGCCTTTGTTTAACATAAGGTTATACATCTCAAGAAGTTTAATTTTCGCACTTTGTGGCAAATTTTTTAGCATTGGATAGGAAATGCGATCATAACCAGGCGTTTTACCTTTTGCACTTTGTAAGGCTAATTCAAGTTCTGTGAAAGAAAAGTCATATTCTAGGTGCTTCGCAGATAACGTTAATCTGCTGGGATTATATCTCTGCGTGAGTATTCTGTTTTTGTTTTCAACGTATTCTTTAGAGAAATTTTCATCTTTGGAGTACTGGGACCAATGGCGGCCAAAGGCATTCGCTATTTCGGAAGTGGTGGTGAAGACTTTTTGGTCTTTTTCCAGTGATACTATAGTGTGTGATGGGATACCGATTATAGATTTTATGTCATGCCAGACTTTTTTTATGCTAGACGTAGGTGATATTTTGGCCGAAAATTCTTCAAAGGAAGCACGTTTGGCAGCCTTTGCTGCTTTTTTAAAAATGGCATTGGCTTTCTTGTATGAAATTAAGTTAGGTATGGTCCCAGTTTTTTTATAAATACTCCAACAAGTTTGTTTATCTTGCCTTAATTTATTTAGCTCTTGGTTCCACCAACGCACTGTGCATGTCTGGCGGCAAGGTTTTGTTTGAGGGATTGATTGATTTGCAACAGTTTTAATAGCTTTGGTAATTCTTGCCGCAAGAAGGTTGACATCAGAAGTGGTTGCGAAAGTGAAACGCTCTATGCAGTTCGCCTGGTATTTGTGCCAATCAGCTTGGTCAATTTTAAATTTCACCGATATTGCACGTTTTTCAGTTTTAAATTGAGTCTGAAAGGTAGTGGTTATCGGGTAGTGATCGCTACCGTGAAGATCTTTCGATATTTTCCATTCACAGTTTGGCATGAGACTGGGTGTGACTAAAGTCAAATCAATATGGGTAAAAGAACTGTGCGTAGATAAGTGCGTGGGTGAACCATTATTTAGTACAGCTAGATCGGCTGAGAGGATGATATCTTCTAGTATTTTGCCCCTGGAGTTAACATCGTGCGAGCCCCAGAGTGGGCTCCAGGAGTTAAAATCGCCAGTCAATATAATTGGCGTACTTATTGGTGTCAAAAATTTAAGCAGTTCTCTGGATGAGAAACTTTGTTGTGGCGGTATATAGCTATTGAGCACAGTCACTTTAGGATTAAGGCGTATCTCAATCCCCAGTGTGCATATGGTAGAGTTAATATTTAAAGCTTCATGTGGGATATGTTTTTTGATTAGGATACCAATGCCTTGTTTAGCACTTAGGTTCGTATCTAAGTTACAAAAATACCCAGTGAAGTTGTTCGGGCAGAAAAAATTACGTGTATTGAAAGGAAAGTGTGTTTCTTGTATACATATTACGTCGGGATTTTGTTCTTTTATAATTAGTAGTAGTTCGTGGTAATTATTGTTGTAGCCGTTCATATTCCATTGTAGTATAGAGATACACATGGGAGGGAGAAGGGCGTTATAAGTTGTTTTTTCCTAAGCAAGAGAGTTCCCCATTGGAGAATGCCGCAGAAAGAGATGCGCAATCGTTGTCATTAAGTCCTTCTGTAGGAGAGATTGATATTGGTGGGTTTAGAGAGACGAGGTGTATATTGTTATCTTTATTGTGATCATTGGTTTGCGATATTATTGATATTGAGTGTGGTGGATATATTGTGGTGGAAAGAGAGCTGATAAACTCATCTACGATGTGTTGCTGCGTAACAGGTGTTTTTTGTTGAGTGAAATTTTGAGAGTTTGGTATGTTCGGTGTTATTGAGAAGGGAGAAATTGGGTTCGTAGTTGTTGTGGGTACTAGTTTAGTTTTGTTTTGTGTGTTTGCTTGGCTTTGAGTTTGCTCTTTTTGTGTGTCAGCTGCAATAAAGGAGTAGCTGGCGGTATCACTGGGCTTTGGGGCATTCGCTCTAAAGATTGCTTTTGCTTCACGCAAAGTACATTTTTTTGTTGTTTTGATTTGTAGGATTTCTTTTTGTTGTACAAATTTTTGGCATTGCCTTGATGAGGCGGGGTGCTCTTGTGAGCAGTTGACACATTTAGTTTGTGTGCAGACGTCGGAGACGTGGGGAGGGAGACCACAATTGACGCATGTGGGATTGTTTCTGCAATGTTTTGCAGTGTGCCCTAAATACTGGCATGATTTGCATCTCATTGGAGTGGGAAAATATGGACGAATTTTTGCAGAATACCACGAAATGTCAATTTTTTCTGGCAAATTAAAGAGTTCAAAAGTTAAGAGGACTACTCCACTTGGCTTTGGTACTCCATCGTTCATTTTCATGAATTTATACACACCTGTCACTTTTTGGGAGCTTAGTTCCTTAATGATTTCTTCTTCTGGTATGTTGATTAAGCAAGGCGCATATACGGTACCTTTTACAAAGTTCAATGATTCGTGAAGTTTGCAAGCAATTTCACAAATACCAGTCAGCGAAGTTGCTTTAAGAAATTTATCAGCGTCCTTATGTGAGTCCACCAGAACGAGTAGGTTGCCGTCTCTTGTGGGTGTAATTTTTATAATATTTTTTGTAATGAGATGTAGGCTTCGGTTCACCGCAAAGCAGGAGAAATCTGTAATTTTCTTTTCATAATTTTTCGATGTTACTACGATGTATTTGGGTGTTTTAGTTGTTGGATTGGGTAGGTCAGGGAAGGATAAATCTAGTCTTTGTGGCTTTTTACGTTTTTTTGCTTGGGGACTTTCGGAAAGCATCGCAAACCGATTATCCCCAAACGGGGAGGCCCCGGAGGGCATTTTGTGTGCTTTTGTACTTAATTAATTAGTATTTTATTCGTTAAGACAATAGACACTTGAAATTGTAAATTGCACTTGGCGTGACGAAAACACGTGCGTTGCTTTGGAGTTTGACTTTGAAATGACACTTGCACTAAGAACTTGCGCTTGCGATCAAAGCCGA